ATGGAATTGGCCTACTGGCATTCGTATGTTTTCCATCCAAGTAGCCGCGCTCGAATTGGTACGCGCGGGACGCTGTCCTCTTATCGTACGTCTCTGCTAGAGTTCTTTCGAGGCAACGACGTTAGTACAGGCTGTTTTACAGCATTCGATGACAGTCCTATCTTATTATTCCCATTTCACAAGCAATGCATCACCTTCAACGTGAATTTTTATCGAGGTCTGTGTCAAAACAATGTTATCCGCATATAAAAGCGTTTACTGCTTTTTCGTTTATGTGTTCTAGGCTATTTTGTCTCTCAGAAAATATACGTTTGGCAGAGATTCATCTCACGGCAAGAATTTATTTGACTTGAAATCTTTGCTAAGTTGCTGGGAACTAAATCGACACTTGGGCAGAGAATACAATCAAAACGGCTGTCCCGGGAATTCGCAAAGACTCGTTTGCATTATATTTCAGTATTGAAAATCGATTTCAGTTTATTTAAAATTCATTTTATTACGTAAATCCGTACGCTGCAACGGAGAAGTTGATTGAAATATTTTCATCTTCGCATGCTCACGAGTGACGTTATTTCCGATGACTCGCACACGTTGTACTTTGAAGTCCCGCTTCGTTATATCCACACGCTCGGCTCAAAATAATTTGCCTACGCACACTTCACATAGATAAGACGGTATAAGTGGCGTGTTATAGCTTGTCGCAACAAAGTACCGAGTTTTTAAAACAAAAGATAAAGGTAAATGTGCGCCACGCCGACGGTAAGCGACGTAACAAACGGCGAAGTTTGCAAGCAACGTTAATGTTGAATTATCGAAAAAAGCCGTCTGCCTAATGACCATTCCAAATTACTTTTCCGTACAAATAGTCGGATACACAACGCTGAACTATTCATTTCCTTTATCCCGAATGTCGGACTCTGCGGCATTTACGAATACTGCTAATTCCGAGCTTGGATCCATTAGGCGTAAGAAAATTGATAAATCGCAAGTGGCGCGCGAGCTTTTTCCCTCATTAGCTGATTGGCCCGTAGCCCCGTAGCCGCGGCGAGTGCGGATTCCGGAAGAGCGATCAGCCAACTGGAAATCTTGGCCGAGCGAATTCCCACGAGAGAGTCGGACCTGCTAATAGTCTGTAAAACTAAAAGAAAGTGAGAGAGAGAGAGAGAGAGGTGGAAAGCTAACGAAACGAGACGGCTTGACACTGTTTTCCGCGCCGGCGACCGAATCAGTTGGAAAACAAGAGCGCAAACGTTTACTCGGCGCGGAAAAAATCGATGACTTGCGTGAGCTTGCTCGCCAACCCTCGATCGATCTACCATCGCCAATCACTGCGCGCGGCACCACCACGCGACGAATCCCCAAAACCATACGCGTCCCCGAGGCGCTTGTCGCTTCGCTCGTTTTCGCGAGGCACAAATAAGCGGCACTGCGAACGAAGAGGAATGCACGGAGCAATTACGGTAATTCCACCGCTAGAAATTTTTTCAAGCGGGATCGTAATCACCCGTCGAGGGTTGCACGTAAGACACTCGCTCTCTCGCGGAATGATACGAGTGCCGTACGCTAAGAATAGAAATGACCTTTTCTTCGCGAGGTGATGGTGTATAATAGTTGCAGACGGGGGGTACAGCTCGCTCGCTATTTTCGCCCGCGGCGTTTCCGCGATGTTCTCGTTTTTCTTTCTTTTTTTCTTTTTTACTTTTTTTTCTTTTTGTCGAGCGAATTAGCTTTTTCAAGAATACACAACTTCTTTTCAAGCCGAGTACGCGCAGTTATTGACGAATCCCAGAGATCACGCGTCGACCCAGTTCGCATTTCTATTTTCCCTTTCCCCTTTCGTTTTTTCAACCGTTCGCAAAATTTATTTAATCGCGCTCAGTTCGAAAGGCGCCGCAGCGCGAGATTCGATTAGAGGCCGTCGGGCGCACGCGGATCGCCGTAGTGTGACGAGAGAGCGGCGAAACGATAAACGCGCGCGCGCCAGCCAAAGGGAAATACGCACAGAAGCTGCCCCGACGTCAAATGCATCGGCGCAACCTGCGAAGCGTACGACGCGGCGCACATGCGCGCGACGGCTGCGTGCAGGCGAGCGCAGCGCGTTCCGTCCGCCGACTTGTGTTGCGGGCGTCGAAAAAGAGAGCCGGATGACGTAGAGCGCCTCGGCGCTCAACCTATTTTCAGCCGCGGCGGCAGCTTCCCGCGAAATCCCACTCGACGCGTTCGATGCCGTCGATGTGGCGCGGATGCGAAATCGATACCCCGCGGGGCGACTCGCGACCGCGCGGACTTTCCCTCTTTGTTCGCCGTGGAAAGCGCGAGCCTCTTCCTCCTCGCGCGCACGGTCGTCCTCGTCGAGCGCGCCACGCCTAAAAATTAGGGACTCGACCGCTTCTTACGCGCCTGTTACTGCCGCCCCCCCCACCCCCCTCGAACGGTCGCAGCGAACGGAAGAAAATCGAATGTCGTGATCGGAATGTAGGTCGAAGCGCAAAAACCTTCCGCCGAAAATGAAGCGTCGGAGAGGCCCGCGTGCGCGGTAGAAGGTGCAAGTTCAAGCCCGGGGAACGTCGGCGACGGTCGGCGCGTGGCTATTACGGTAATCGGTGTCACGGGCGTCGCACGCCCAAAAAACCGCCCGTCGGCCGACTACACACCTGGCAGTCGCTCAAACTTTTACTGGCTTTCATATTCGTTAAAAACGAGCATTTCGAGCGGGAATAACGCGAACGTTTATCGAGCAAGCTGCGCAGGTTTGCACTCTCTTTTTTCATCGGTGGCAAACATTTGCAGCATTGCGTCATCGTTACGAGAGCAATTTTCCCTCTTTATTTATTAAGAAAGAGTAGGGAGGGGGTCAAGGTGTGTGTGTGTGTGTGTGTGTGTGTGACAATTCAAGCATTATATATAAGACGAAATCTCCTACTTCAAAGACTTCGTTATATAACTTTATTATAAATCTATAAAAAGCCAATAACGCATCGTGCCTATTTATATAACGAAAAGAGTTTCACGGTAAATCCGCGCTAAAAGTCAAAGAAAGGGAGCGCCGGGACTCGGCGAGAAACCGTTGACCGCGCAAAAGAAAAAATCGCGCTCCCCCCCGAGTTTCGGCCTGAAAAAACGGACAGCGACAATTAGCGGAACTGAAAAATCGATGATCGCGCACTCACCAAAGGCTCGCAGTCCGAAATGTCCTCTCCTCCGTCCGTACGGTCGTCGGCAGGCGCGGGTGTTCCACCACCCCGAGCGACAATCACATGACACACAAAAACACACGAGGCAGCACACACGCGCACGTCGAACTGGCGTCGCGTTCACAGGCACATCGAACGCGGAGGAGACGAGCAGGCAAGCCGAGTCCGGGCTCGCGGCGTAGGAGCGGGCGGTGCGGGTCTCGGTCGGGCGGCGCTGGCCCCGGGTGTGGCGCGCACCGGCGGTCAACCGGTCGCGGCCCGTCGCGCGCCTGGCCCTCGCGTGTGCGTGGGTGCGCTCGAGCAATCGAATGGTCATTCGCGCGGAGAGTCCAGCGCGGGCGCGCGCGGGCGGTGCTCCTCGTCGCGCTGGCGGGACACTGTCTCGGGCATCACGAGCGCTCGCGCTGCGAATCGGCACGGCCGGGCGAGCGAAGGGAGGCAAGGCGCACGGAGAAAGCCCTGGTCGCGGCGCGGCCTGCTACTGGTGGCGCGGTCACACGGTGCGACGGCGTCCGCGGCGGCTCTCGCACTGAGGGGTTGCCGAGGCCTCCGTGCGCCGTCGCTGCTGCTGCTGCTGCTGTGCTGCTGTGCTGCTGTGCTGCTGCTGCTGCTGCTGCTGCTGCTGCTGCTGCTGCTGCCGCGTGAGACGCGCGCACACGTGCGCGAGCACTCGGGTTATCGGGGGAGGAGAGAGAGAGAGAGAGAGAGAGAGAGAGAGAGAGAGGGAGCGGCGCGCCACCCTTCGTCGAGCTCTCTGCACTAGGCGAGGCGCCCGGCGAGCTTGCGGAGCAAGCGATTCTCGTCTCGTTCCGGCCTCGGCGTCTCTTCGTCGACTCGTCGTGGCATTCCTCTATGCGTTCCAACGCCGCGCCTGTACTTCTTCTTTTTTCGATCTAGGAATTACGTCTCGTCCGCGCGAAACTTCGATGAAGCTTGCCGAATCCATTGAACGTTGTACGTTCTCGCTATTTATTCGACGAATCGACGACAAAGAGCTTTTGCCTCGTTCGCATATTTCACTCGAACTTGCGTGATATAAAAGCGCATTTGTTCGCAAATGGTGATTGAAAAAACTGTAAATAGTATTTAATCGACTGCGCGAACGGTAGATTATGAACCAAGCAACACGACGACCAGAAGCAAGTTTGTCAATCATCAATGTTCGTCGTTTAAAGCCATGTGATGTCGACGACTGTAAGATTGACTTGAAAAACATTAGGCAAGAGGTTAGAGTAGATTACAATTAACTAGACGATACTCCGCAATGCCGCAATGGAAATAATGCAGCATCGCGTAAAAATGGAAATCGCCCGATGCACGCGAAATAGCTTTGCTTTCAGGTTTTTCAGTGTTTTTTTCGCGCCGCCTTCGCGAGCACTCTCGCACCGGGGGCTTGCCCGCTAAGTCGATAAAGCGCGACTAATTATAGCCGCGGCAATAAAGAGATTCGCAGCGCGGCGGCATTGTCGAGCGATCTCTCATTCGCGCGCTGTCAGACGTGATCCATAATACCGAGCCCTCGCGTTCCTGCGATGCGCGCGATCCGCGGAATTCCGCACAGCTGGCACGCGGACCTCGCCTCTTGCGTTTTATAACAGCCGCCCTTTGCCGCTCGCGGATCGTTCGGTCAATGATGGTATTCCTGTCGCACAAGTGTTTCAATGAGAAATCGCTTCTTAATTTCTTTCCTTTCTTTCCTCGTCGTCGAATTTTTATTGCGGATAATTATGCCGAATTAGCGGGGGCTTAAGTCTCTAAATTGTACTAGATAAGCCAACGACACGATACTCGGCGCTGCTGTTCGTCATGGGTTTCCCGGGTGTAAAGCTCGCGCTCTATCTTTGCGGCATGTTTTTTCTCGGTAAAGGAGGAAATCAGTCGATCGCGAGTGGCGATTTAACGGTCGAGATTTCAGTTGCAGGTCGGAGTCATCAGAAACGGGCCAAGCGCATCATCGGTGGTACGAGTGTCGATATCGAATTGGTTCCGTATATGGTAAGCGTCGCATGAAATTCTCAAGAATTTTTCCAGACGCTTTGTTCACGCCAATCTCTCGTTTCAGTTATCGTTGAGGCTCCACGGCAAACACATCTGCGGCGCGGTGATCATCGGCAAAGAGTGGTGTTTAACCGCAGCGCACTGTTGCGTCGCGTAAATATAATCGGATGTTTCCTAGTCGCGCAAAGACGTATTTTCGCAAATACGGGCTGGGAATAATGCAACAAAATAAATTCGGCGAAATTCCGAAGTTCAAGAGCAAAATTACGTCCTTCGCTCTTAACCGAATAATTGTCACTTTTAACAAACGTTATCGCTCAGCCGCAACGCCGTCAATTAAGCCTTCGTAGTAGATAACAGAACGTAAAAGTTGTATTCATTCCCGATAAAATTTCCACGATCCCGTCCGCAGTGGCAAGCTGACAGTTCGAAGCGGCACGTCAAATCTGCACGAGGGTGGCGATTCCCGTCGAGTGACGCAGGCGACGCGTCACGAGCTTTATCGCGACGGCGACGACGATTACGACTTGTGCGCGTTGCGCGTCGAGACGGCCTTTGAGTATTCCAACGTGACTGCGCCCGTCAAGTTACCGAAACTTGAAAAACAGAGCACGCACCTGATTGATGGGTCCGTGGCTGGTTGGGGATACACTGCGGTATCGTGTCACTCCTTTGTCCGATTGTAAGCGACGTTTTCCTTCGGATTCTGACTCGCTGCCTCACTTTCAGGCTGATGGAACCGTGCTTTCTCCGCGACTGCAACTGTTGAACGTATCGAGGGTCGATTTGAAGGATTGCAAGCACGCCTATCGGAATTCGTACACGATTCACGACGACGACGTATGCTACGGTTCCGACAACGGGTGGGACGGCGCTTGTCAAGTAAGATGCTTGAAATGCCCACGCAAGCCTGCTTCAAATTGCCGGCTTTGATTTTTCAGGGAGACTCGGGTGGTCCTCTCGTCAATCGCGACTTCGTACTCGTCGGAATAGTGTCGTTTGGCGCCGAGTGCGGATACAGCAAATTACCCGATGTCTACGTTGACGTTACGCAATTCCTCGAGTGGATCGAACGAACGACGAGACTGCACGCCGAATAACTTCCAAAATAATGCTCGGAATTTTGTCGAGCAATTGTTTATGCTCGCTCGCGAAAGAAGCTTCGACGTGCTGGATAAGCGTGTGCTTTCCTTCGAACAATCATATCTGCAATAGTTGTCGAGTTATATTTGCGACTAACTCTTCGACGAAACGTTGTAGCTTGGAGCTTGTCCCCGTCGATTAGTCATTCGCTTCATTCGACCACCGCTGGATTTCAGAAGCCGATCTCTCCAGGAAAAGACAGTCGGAGTCCCTGCCGAAAGTCTACCGGCGCAATCAAATGAAAAACGGAACGCGTACAGAATCGCTGATGTGTCGGAGCTACAGGGAATAGCGATTGGATTATTCCCGATGATAGCATTGAAATGGTAAATCCTGAGAGGGATGCGTCAAGTATTCGATTTTTCAGCAAAAGCTTTTCCCATTGATACCATGATTTCGATCGAAGCTCGAATTTAGCTCACCTTATTTCACCAATCTTTGTAGAATATTAATTGAGGTAATACTTTGAAATGCAGAGGCTAATAAATAAGCTTTTCAAGAATTATATAGTGCTATTTTTCAATGCTCCGCTTTCATAAATTTTTATCATTGATTAGCCAAATATTATTTAAGTTATACAAACGATTTCATTCTACTTAGCTTGATTTCTGTAAAACACTGATTTTGCTCATTTTCAGAATTTACGTTTATTCGAATAAGTCACTCGTACTTCATCAGTATTTCAGCTCCAAATAAATATTTGATTATGTAAAGCAGACAGTACATCAGTTTTGCTTAATTTTATTTCAAACTGTCGATTACATCGTTTGTTCCTGAGCAGGGGGAGTAGGGGCAGCAATTGGAGACTGGTAAAACCATTTTTTGTGTCGATCAATGGAACGAAGTCTTTCAGAGCCATTTGTTCGTAAGATCTTACATCGAAAATGTGAAACCTCAGCGTTTCGCTCACTCTCCGAAGTACAATTGAAAAACTCGTAGTTGGCCCCCTGCTCGCGGCGTTTTCGGTATGTATAAGACGATGCTGTTGTTTATTATCGCATTGCACTTATCGCTCGTTGGTGATTGAATACACGTAGCCTGTCTAGCTTTCTGCTAGGGTGCAGCGTTCGCGATTGCGAGTACGCATATAATTAGACTAGCAATCATTGTTTGATTCAGTGTTGGCAGTATTAGTAAAATGTGAGTATTGATCGCATCGTCGCTTTTCGCAACTGCGCCGTATTTATCGCGAATCTTTGCCTCTCAAGGCGTTGCTGCAAAGCGATTTTGCGTGCGTAATCGGCGCCGATGCGTCGAGTCTGGTCTCACTGAATCCATTCGGTGACCACGAGCCCATCGCATTCGAGAAGATTTCGGACGTAGCTGGGCTCTGGATCTACACAGACAGCACGACGCTGAACGACGTGCACAGCAACATGTACAAGTACTCGTACTTCGGGTGAACGATGACGATTTGCGCGCAATGCAGTGAGGCAGCGAGAACTCGCGAGCTTCGCGAGCGTGCAGTACAATTTTTCTGAAGATCATGGCGCTTTTAGACTATCGACAATTCCATGGAGAGGATTACAGCTGCGTCACTCACGGTACGATCTTGCAGTACTTGAACCGACCACTGCCTACATTCAGATGGTCTCCGACAAAATATCAAACATTAGCGGACTTTTTACAAAATGCTGCTCTGACATTTTAATCTCAAGACTCTGGTAGATAAAGTCACTCCATGGCGACGGTGACTGATGGACGACCCGATACACCGTGAAAACTCGCAATCTCAATATCAACGAAAATGCGGTGACAACGTGCGACGTCGTCAGCGTGTGTAACGGGTAACTTTGGATATCCAGTGGCCGCGTGCGCCGCGTGCGCCGCGTGCCGTCCGTGCACTTGTTCGCAATTTCGCAGGCCCTACTTCAAAGACTTCTGGAAAACTCCAATCTTGAGAATTTTCCTGGGCGCGTGATGCACAGTCACGTCTACAGTCAGCCAGAAGATTTCATTGGTCAGGCGGTCGTCGTGTTGGGCGCTTCGAGATCGCCCCCCATGCCAAGACCATTTGTCTAAGTCACAGCAAACCAAAGTAGGTACTATCAGCGTATTTCACTTGGCGTCGAATGTATGTGTGCTCGTTCGGAGGTCGACCTATTTAACGTCGCGTAAATTCGTTATTTGTCACGCGTGATAATCACGAGTCGCCACTATCAATTCGCAGAATCACCGGAATCCCCTACCGAAAAACATCGTCAGCTGACGCTGAAGCACGGATCGACGCATTGATTCTGGGCACGAGGTACGAGTTTAGCTAGCCCTTCCTCGACGAGAACGGTGGCATCGGGGTGCTTCACAATCACGTCCGCCCGCTGTACAAGCAGTTCATGAACGTCGAGCATCCGCGTATGGCTTTCATGGGATTGCCACTTCTCGACGCGTTCGGGTCGATGGAATTTCGTCCTCTTCTTTCCGTAACGCGATAGTCGAGCGAGAAAATCCGAGTTTCCAGAAGCCAGAGGCGCTTATCGATCAAAGTCTTTGTGGATATTTCGGTGACCTTTGATTTATTCAAGCGCCCGTTCTGAATTCGTAGCGTCCCTGCGAAACTCCGAGGAGACGATGCGCGAGGACTCGAAGCATTTACCACCGAGCAAACGCGAAAGATACGCTCAGTGAGCTTACAACGACAACCTCGCCAAAGAGGCAAAATTCAAGCCTCTGCCGAAACTCTACGAACAAAGCAGCAAGAAATAGAACGCCTACATTACAAGAAAAGTGACTTGGTCATTCACGACGACGGAAACATTGAGATTGTACATCCCGGTGGAAGGGACAAGTAGTCAATGCCTTTTACCAAAATGACCTTGAAATGGAAGCAACCGTTAATTGAACTGAGATTAGCAATTATGCGAATTTGTTGAACATCAAACGGGGTTTTGAACTTGACGACCAACAAAGTGTTTGTTCATTATAATTTTGATTCATTATAATTTTGGTTCATTATGATTTGTGCGTTATTTACGCTTTCCCATCGAATAATGCCACAGCTTCTCATCGATTATTGAAAAACACATTTCTCTAACAGCCAATTGCAATAAAAACGTAACTTCCGTAATAATAAACTTTGTGCACATTGAACAAGTGCAAAGTTTTTGCAGAGCGCTTCGAATCGCTTGCTCGTGCCGTTGGAGCAAGTTTTTAATTTTTAATAGTCTTTCAAAAGTAGCGAGTATGTATTTTATTTTCTAGAGGGTAACTCTGGTACTCCGTATTTGACGACGAACAAGGGTAATTTTGCCATTTACATAAAGTAACGATCGATTTCCATTGCATAAAAATAATGTTAAATTTATTTTTCAATGTTTCATCATCAATGTTTCTTTTTATCGTAACTATGAGGAAGAGATAAGTGAAATTTGTTGTGCAACGATGTTGTCTCCTATGTAAGAATATATATTCCATTATATAAATTATATAGTGAATCAATATCGTTCGTTTTTTGAACAAAATTAATCGTGACATTCATTTGTTCCAATTTCCAAAGCCATCAAAGAGGGTTCGACATTGCTATCTAATCTTGACTAAAGTTGTTAGCTAAACCCCTACTTCGCCGACTGCAGAGTTTTCAGTATATAAAATGAAGCTGTTGTTTCTCATCGCGAGTATTTATCGCTCGTTAGCGATTGAATTCTCACTCTCTGCGAGTTTAGCTTTCCAGTGGATTTCAGATTTATTGTGTGGTCCAAAATGTGAGCATTGGTATTGCTAAATTATAGAAATCTGTGCAATGAAAAATAATCGTTGATTTCCCTAGGCGGACGCAATTTTTGTTGCTCCTCGCGTTACTTGTTGGTGCGCACGGTGCCAAATTGCCAAAGAAAAAGGTGTGCGTGATAGGTGCAGGTGCGTGTGGTATAATTTCGCTGAAGCAATTCGTCGACCATCCTGATGAGTTTGAAGTCATTGCTTTCGACAAGAACTCGGACGTCGGTGGACTTTGGATCTACACCGACAGCACGACGCTGGACGAGTACGGACTGCCCGTGCACAGTAGCATGTATAAATACCTTAGGTAAGCGATTTCGACTTGTCAAAGGCAGCGAAGAGCGTGACTCGCGAGTTTTACAATTATGCAGAACCAATTTACCGAAGGAGATCATGGCAACTCCCGACTATCGAGAGTTCAATGGCGATCGCAGTTGCGTTACCCACGAGACGGTTTTGCAGTATCTGAGGAATTATACCGACCACTTCCAACTTCGGCGCTACATTCAGGTGGTCACCAACATAATATCGAATGTTAGCGGACTCCTTTCAACGTGCTGATCTGACTTTTTAAGCACAACACTTTGGTGGATAAAGTCACTCCGATCCGCGGCAACAGCGACTGGCGGACGACCAAATACACCGTGGAATCTCATAATCTCATTACCAACGAGAGCGCAGTGACAACGTGCGACGCCGTCAGCGTATGCAACGGGTTCGATGATTAATAAACAACTAAAAATATGCTACGACGTCGACTTTTTTTTTCTGACGCAATGAAATTACTTTTTACAGTCACTACTTCAAACCGCATCTACCGATAATATCGAATCTAGAAAGTTTTCCTGGACGAGTACTGCACAGTCACATTTATCGCAAGCCAGAAGACTTCGCTGGCCAGACTGTGGTTATATTGGGTGCTTCGCTCTCTGGCATTGACCTCAGTATCGAGATAGCCAAATACGCCAAAAAAATTTATCTAAGTCACAACAAACCAAAGTTAGTATTACATCGTAATCAATTTTGACGCATCATATTTTTTATCTGGTGAGGTCATTAGATCTAACACTTTCCTTAATACATTATTTACGATCAAAATATTTGATTGGTTATAAGATGACGTGCAAAACTAAAAATCTACACGTTACTATGAATTTTCAGAATTACAAGCCCATTGCCAGAGAATGTAATCCAAGTTACTGGAGTTGTCGGGGCTAACGGTGACAAATTGATACTCAAAGACGAATCGAATATAACAGCTGAAGTATTAATTTTCTGCACTGGCTACGAATTCGACTACCCCTTCCTTGACAAAAACAGCAGTGGCATCGAGGTCGTTAACAATCATGTCAAACCGTTGTATAAGCAACTGATCAACATTAAGCATCCATCCATGGCGATAGTTGGATTGCCTATACTCGCCTTACACTTTCCAATATTTTACATTCAGGTTAACTATGTTTTTTCCTCTCTTTTGCAATCTTTTGAGAACAAACTTATCGATCAAAATCTCTGTGAATAATTCAATGACGTGTTATTTATTCGCACTATCCGTTTTGAAATGATCCTGTCTCGGCTTCGATATTCTACGAAATCCAATTTAACCTTCTAACTTACGGAATTTTCGAATTTCCAGTCACAATATTTCCTCGCTCTACTACAAGGCAAAGTCAAGCTACCCAGCAGAGAAGAAATGCTCGAGGACTCGGAACGTTTGCCGCCGGGCAAACCCGAGAGATACGCTCACTTCTTAGGCCCCGCTCAGTGGGCTTACAACGACGATCTCGCCAAGTTAGGACAATTCGAATCCCTGCCAAAGTACTACAAGCGCGGTGGTCATATGTGGACCTCCTACAGAGATGCTAACATACTTCACTATAAAGAGAGCGATTTGATCATTCACGATGATGGCAGCGTCGAGATTGTACACGTTGAGGGAAGGCATTAAGTTTTTCAAAAACATACTTTTCCTAATTAATCGACTATAATAATATTTAACTTATTGTTAATTTTAAGAATTAATGTATGTTTTAAGTGAATAATAAATTGAGTTTTGCGACAAACTGATAGATCAGTAGAATTATTATTTTTCGTTAGGGTATTGGAAATGACAATCGTAATTAAAATCTCAAACGTGATCAATGATCCAAACACAAACCTTATTATTTCCGAAATACAATCTATTATGCCTTAAACTATATTTCAATTCAACCAGCTAGGTCTCCCTGAACACTGACGCTCAAAGGGCCACAAGACCTGCTCTCCCCAAAATCTCTGCTTTCTACTATAATGCTGTAGCTACTCGCGTCTCTGTCACTCAAAGATAACCCGACTTCTCTCTCTCTCTCTCTCTCTCTATGCCATATTGATACACAACTACAAGCTATACTTGAAACCCTTCTCGCATTATTATTATCTTGTTGTTAAAATATATTATATTTATTGTTACATTAACGCTATTGCATTTTAATATTATCACAGGAAAAAAAACCGGAGCTTTTTTGACATATAAAAAAATTAATTCAATTAGAAACTACAGGGGAAAGTGACGTAATATTGGATTAAATTCTTTTTCAATTTGTTTGAGTACTCGTAAAACCTTTTTTCACCATTTCATAATTAGAGAATTCTTCTTTTGTGAAATTTGTTTAACATTGAACTGTTTTATCTAACGACATTTATTTACGATTGAGATTCAATCGTAAATACACGTTATCAATCAACTATACAAGTAGACAATTTTTTATGCACCGCATAATAAGATAACGGTGGCTGCGATCAGCTAACTCGTCAATTCTGCATGCTCCGTAACTTTTGGATAGATTTTGTTTTTATCTGAAACAGAGAACTCATTTCCTTATAAGTAAAAGCTTTGCATTAATTTAGCTCTATGATTATTGTATTATCATGGCAATACAAAATATTCCGCTACATCAACTTATCGCGGAATCCATCGAAATTTTACAGAAAAATTTTACTTAATAAACAAAATTCATTGTTAAGGGTTAGGTTATTGTGTTATTTTAAAGATTGAATTGAAGTTCAAATTTCATGATAAATATTGTTAATCTAGTCAAAATAAAAGTCTGGTGCTTAATTGTTTTATCTTCAGCTGCGAGTGTTTTAGATCTCCGTCTACTTCTTTTATTCTATAAACACTATCAAAAGAAAAATTTAAGTCTTTTATAAATTCTAATTCTTTTGTTGATAGAAGAAAACAAAAACAATTATTCATAAAATCGGCCAAGAATTTCGGTGGCATATTGTGATAATCGTATCATTTGTTCTCGCCTATCTAAATTTAATGCATTAGATTTGGTGTAAAACGAACAAATACAAAATTCTTACTTACGAAATATTTTAGAATGGTTTAATCTACAAATTACATTATTTACATTACCATTTGAAAATAATTAGTGATTTTCAGAAAAACATACTGTACCCTTTTTTAACCCCTAAATGATCGACTTAGAAAGTCCGGTCTTCGTGGCAATCTATAACCTTAGGCTAAAATGTCCACAAAATTTCAGCTTTTTAAAAAATATTGTCTTTGATCTACGCTGAACAGAACGATTATACTGATATACAGATCTATAAATCGCGTTTAACTTTGCGCATATTGAAGCTACGAGGAAGAGATTAGTAAATTTAATATGCAATGGAAAAAATTCATAAATTACGTAATGCATCGATATCGTTTATTTAACAAGAATTGATTGCGACACTTGTTCCTATGCTTGAAAACAGTATTAAAAATGGCAAGCACTTTTTCTTTCGTTAAGAAATACATTTTGCCAAAGAACTTAACCAGTGCTGTCTAATATTATCTAATATAATTTTTATGCAAAATGTATCAAACTGGCTCGGCTTCGATATTTTAGGAAGCCCAATTTGAACTTCTCACTTGTGATTATTTTTAATTTCTAGTCGCAATATTCCATTGCTCTACTTTTATTTACTTTTGAGTCCTTTTGGTTTGCACTTTTACGTGCCTGAACCGGGCGACTCTATTTGAATTATGCCACTTCTATTTATGTAGAACTACGAATCCTAATAGCAAGCAGGCCTCACGGGGGACTTGCGTTATAGACAAGCGGGGCCTCGAAGGCAATTTGTTTTATAATTAAATGACTGAGTCAAATCTTTCTACCTCACCGGACGAAAAGTTCACTCGGAATTAGGAAAATCTGAGGTTAAAATTTTAAGGATTTAATTGAAATTTAACTTATTTTTTATTTATTTTTCTTTTTTTTTTTTTAATTGTGGACAAGACTCCCCACGTACTTGCAAGTAGCTAAAATTAGAGCTTTGCGCGCTCGTGTATATAAGTATATTGTATCTTCACTGGCCTTCCCGCGAACTGGAGATGGACTTCTTTTCTTGAGTCGGTGGTGGCGAAGAACTGACTTTTGACTTTGCCTTTAGCTAACTGCTCACCTCGGAGAGGCGGAGAAAAATAAAAAGAATTCCTTCCTCAGGTTCTGTAGCGTCTTCGTCTTCATGGAGGTATTAGATGAAGAGTTTTATTCTGGAAAATTATGTCTCCTGATTGGCCGAAGGGCGTGGATTTTCCAAAAAGTTAAGAAAGGGACCCCTTTAAACTTGGGCCGTTTTTCTCCGAGATGGCTCTTGATACAATATTTTTTGTACAAGAACAATTATTCATTGTATTATACAATTATAATTATTTAATATAGAAATAAACCAAAGAAGATTACTATTTCAAGATTATGGTTTCGCTTTATTTTGATATATTTACGAATTGGGTTTAATTCAGTTATTGAGACAAGTTTTTATTGTTTTTAGAAATTTGATAACATTTTTATGTGAATGTGCAAATAATTATTTGAATGTGCAAATAATAATATAATAGTAACATATTTTTTAATTATAATTGGATCGCAATATTAATTGAATATTTGTAGATTATTCTAGAATAATTTTTCTAATATACTTCAATCTGGTTATAACGAAATAGTCCGAGTATTATAGATCTCTGTCTGCTTCTTTTCTACTAAATGCTATTTAGTAAAAATTAAAATTCTTTAAAAATTTTGATTCTTCTGTTGATAGAAGATAACAATAAATTATTATATTAAGTGGCTTGTCAAGAAGAATTTCGGTGGCATATATCTTATCGACATTTCAATGACACCTAATTTGTTCACGTACCTGTTTTGGCTACGGATGTACTTAAAAATGACTTATTAAAATTATATGCTGATGACGTTATTCGTTTTTATTTCAAGAAGAAACTTCAAATCTTCAGTTATGTAAGTGACATTTCCAAACACATGTACAATCGAACAAATCTAAAAGATAAGCACACATGTGCAATGACACATACTGAGCTTATTTAATATGATGGCGACATCATAAGTTTGTACCTCCCTGCACCGCTCCCAGCGCTGAAAAATAAAACGACCGATTGGTTTATTTATGACGATGAGAGCATGAAGATGATACATTGTCAATGTTTACAGGGTAACTTTTCAAAAATTGGTTAACTCCTATTGACACATTGTTCAAATTTGTTGAATGGATCTTATGGTAACGTCAAAAAATTATGAATCGCACCACATTAAATAAACTGTAAGTTTTTCATTCTGCCTTTTACATTTAATTGCTTATCCGCCCGACGATACTTTTATTTAGAATAAATAACATTACTTGCAATTTAATTATGGCAAGCACAAGTGATTGCAAAACTTAGGAGTTACAGCGTTGGTTCATAAGCAAATAACAAAGTTTTACAAACATACAAGACTACGTTTCTCTACCCTATTTCTATGATAATCATAAAATATGCCGGAATGCATTCGTAGAAAACGTGAGTATGTAAAATAGACGTGCTTCATAGGAAAAATTACGGAATTATTATATTTCGTAACAATTTGTTTTTTCCATAATCACTCTTCCATAAAATATGCCAGAACAAATTCTTCGAAAAAGAAAAAATTAGCATGTGGAGGTTGGAGGCAGATGTACTACATATAAAACAAATTCGTGTGATGGATTGTCAATCGCTCTTGTGAAATTGGCTAATACGTCTGTTAAAACACCTGGTCCTGTTATTTTCGAAGTACATAAAAATCTTACATTTCGAATTTCGATTCATTAGTACATCGTACAAAAATAAGAATACATCTTCAAGAAAATGTAAGTATGCTGACTGCGTTCAAGCTCGAGATTCTAATTTCTGATATTAAAACTCAAACACTGCTCGAATGAGACAATAAATACAACTCGTCAATTTATTCTTCAACATCCGAATCAAACGTTGCTTTCGAAATGGTATCAGGTGGTCTGCCGTGTGGATCCTCTCACTCCTGGCGTTTACCGTCCAGGGTAACGCGTCGCCGAAAAAAAAGGTTTGCGTTATTGGCACAGGAACCAGCGGACTCAACTCACTCAAGCAACTTGCTGATCACTTGGACGAGTTTGAACCCATAGCATTCGAGAAGATCAGCGTACCCGGTGGACTTTGGGTCTACAATGACGGCGACAAGGATAATCACGGTTTACCTGTTCATAGTAGCATTTACGCGAACCTCAAGTAAATACCAACAATTTTCGAAAACAAAAATTGCAAACGATAATTTTCCCTTTATCCTTCAGGACAAACACTCCCAGGGAACTCATGGCCTTCCCAAATTATCCGCAATTCCATGGGCCTCACAGTATCACGACCCACGAAGGCGTATTGAATTATTTAAGAAACTTCACCCAACATTTCGACCTCCTGAAGTACATCACGGTACCGTAACAAATTTCAAATCGCAAACGACTAATTTTACTCAATTTAATTTTATTGTTTTCGATTTGCAGTTTGACACCCTTGTGGAACACGTATCGCCTATACTCGACCGAAGTAACGACGAAGAAAAAACTAAATGGACCGTCACGACTAAAAACCTGAATACCAACGAAATCAGCAAGACTATATGCGACTCAGTCATTGTGGCCACTGGGTGAATATGACACTTCACGTACCGCAACACACTTAATCAAGAATGATAATGATTAATTTAATTTGTTTTGCAGGAAAAATTCAAAACCATATATTCCTGAAATTAACAATATTGGATCATTCAAAGGGGAGGTCAGCCACGTTCATACGTATAGAAAACCAGAAAAATACGCTGGAAAAACAGTTGTATTGTTAGGTGCTGGTCCCTCGGGTATCGACATCGCTATTGACTTAAGCGCTCATGCGAAGAAAATTTACTTGAGTCACAGGCACGCCGTGTGAGTGTCTGATTAAATAAGAATAATTAATCATTAACTTTCGCGATCGTAAGGCTTCATCACGGTTTGGCGTTTCAGGATTGAGAGCCTCTTCCCGGCGAATATCGAGCAAGTTCCCGGAGTCATAGCAGTCGATGAGAACTACGTCGTACTGTCGAACGGTACCAAATTGGTTGCGGACGTATTCTTCTTTGCCACTGGTTACGCCTTTGATTATTCGTTTCTGGACTCGAGCTGCGGCCTGACGATCCAACCCAAACGCGTATTTCCTTTGTACAAGCAGCTCATCAACGCCAAACATCCAACTATGGCTATCGTTGGAGTGGCAAGTGTTATCAGCCCCTTCTTATTCCCATATTTCCAGGTATACGATTTCGTCAACATTTCCATCGCTTGCTTGGCGAACAGGTCAAAATTTACAAAATTAACTTTTCTTCAAGGCGAAATACTACGTGGCATATCTTCGAGGCATAGTTAAGTTGCCCTCGAAAGCAGAAAGGATCGAGGAAGCAAATATTTTGCCGCCTGGTGCTAAACGAGGCCATTATCACGATATTGATAACAACCAGTGGAGTTACATTAGAGAATCAGCTACCCAAGCTGGCTTCGAGCCTCTGCCTGATTATTACGAAAAAGCATACAAAAAGTGGGAAGAATACCGACTCGCGCATTTGTCAACTTTTAGAAACACCGACTTCAGTTTTAATAGAAATGGAGCATTCAATTTCCAATATCTTAATAGTCAAATTGCTTAGGATTAGAAATTTTATTAGGATTCGTTCGATGTTGGATGCTCAAACTTTCATTAGTGTACATTGATTAACTTGTTATAAAGTTACTGTTTGAAAGCGCTGTAGATATATTGACCGTGTCATTCTTATTAAAAATGCAATAAACTTGTATATATATGTGCGTATATATACATATATACTTCATATGAATATATATTTACTATATTGAATAAAAAATATATTTAATATATTTTATTAAAAACATTAAAATATAACTAGATATTGCGATGTATTGTCTTTCGTAGTAACCTTCCTATAATACTATAACAAACATGTTAATTATTATTTTATTTATGATCATTATTGTTTTTTTTCAGCATAGTGCATCACGTAAAAATTAAACGTTTTTGCAATAGCTTTTTATATTGTTAAATTGTTCGCAAATATCAAACATGATATTGAACAATTTCTCTTTCCCAATAAATTCTTTTCCATGCCTTAAATTATATGGAATACACTTGATTATGGATATAGTTTTCTTGTAATCAAATCACTTATGTTCAGGGTACTTCATTTCAAAATGGCTCTCAAAATTCATCACTCCAAGCATAGATGTCAAAAATGATTTGATAATATGAGCAGTTTAACTTACTTAAATTATGATGAAATAGGATTTTTAAAAAATCATTGAGTTGATAAGTAATTGTCACATAAGCATGTAATCTATTGACCCAGCTGATAAGACTACTTATACTGGTAGAGAAAATTTTTTTACTTAAAATGAAGATCAATTTCTTATCGTCGTTTCAATACCGAACATTATATTCGATAATAGTAAATAACTCGATTGAGAATATAAATATTGAAGGCTTATTTGAATGCAGATAAATGTTATGATTACACTAATAACTGAAATGAACACGTTCAATTTTTATAGAATTTTACTAAACAATTTGTATTTCAGCGTTGATCGTAACAAGCGTATATAAAAATTTCCCGAATTCCTGGAACGTCTACGTGATATAAGACTCCTGTTCTGTTACGTTTTATCTAAAAAGTTATGATCCATGAAATACGAATTAACAATATTCAAAATGGCAAGATTTGCATTTCATTTATCTTCAATTAAACATTAACCAGACCATTTCCACACTTTTTTAATCTCCCGCGCTCAATCAATCAATTTAGTATTTATATGGCAGAGCAGCAACTTGCTTACTTACTTGTTTATGTATCCGTCGAAAGATAAGTATCAAAATATGTAAGTATGTACGCACTTGTGCATAAACGTGCTAGAATTTTCATCTTTCTATGACAAGATAGCACTTAATGTTACATATTATTTTTCGATCGCGAAACGAAACATTGTAAATTATTTCAGTATTGAAACAATAATAATTAAACAGGTGGCTGAACGTAGTGCTTATCCCGCTACTACTGTCCTCCATTGAGGGAAAAACCGCTGCATCCCGAAAGAAGGTATGCATAATCGGAGCTGGTGTTTCGGGACTAGCCACGGTAAAACGCTTTTCTGAACATACCGACGAGTTCAAGCCAATTGTTTTTGAGAAACAATCGGATGTTGGAGGACTGTGGAGTTACACGGAGAGCACAACGGTCGACGAACACGGACTACCTGTACACAGTAGTGTCTACAAAAATCTGAGGCAAGTATGACCTTACAAGTACGACAATCGTGCGTTCTAATGTGCATGCTTACATTGCAGAACTAACATTCCAAAAGAGCTTATGGCGTGGCCAGACTACAGGAATTTTACGGGCGATGATCGTAGCTCCGTACCTCATCACATGGTTTTAGAATACCTGAGAAACTACACGGCTCACTTCAATCTTCGACAATTCATCGAGGTAAGAAAGAAAACACCTAATATACCGATTGTACTTTGATTTGTGCCTCAGTAGTGATCATTTGAATTACTTTTCAGTTCGACACGCTGGTGGAGCATGTCAGGCCCTTAAACGTCCAGACCGAGGATTGGCAACAAACTAGATGGCTGGTTAAGACGAGGAATCTCAAAACTCAGAAACGCAAGCATACTGTCTGCAATGGCATCGCAATTGCAAACGGGTAGGTACCTTCGTCAGATAGACATTGCTTGAAACGTAATGAGATTCGTGATTCTATTGCGTTTGTTCACAGACACTACACGAAAGGTAACGTTCCGGAAATACCGGGAATCGAAAACTTTCGAGGACCAATAATCCACAGCCACGTTTACCGCCACCCGGAGGACTTCGCCGGCAAAACAGTCACAATTTTAGGCGCTTGGATTTCTGGCGTCGACATCGCCCTCGATATTAGTCCGTACGTCAAGAAAATCTACCTCAGCTCCAGGCACGAAAAGTAAGCAAACGAAGGAATATTAGCTTTCGTTCGCGGCGATCGCCTTGCAGAACGTAAGTTTGAATTTCAGACGCAACAGCAAGCTGCCGTCGAACATCGAGCAAGTACCCAACGTCATTGAAGCTAACGGCAACGAGCTGATCATGTCGAATGGCTCGACGATCACTTCCGACGCATTCATCTTTTGCACGGGCTACCTACCCGAATTCCCTTTCCTCGACGAGAACTGCGGAATCAGGGTCGAAGCAAACCACGTAATCCCGCTTTACAAGCAAATGATCAACGCCGAGCATCCGTCAATGGCCGTCATTGGACTGCCAACTGCCGACAGCATATTTTTGATGCCATACGTTCAGGTAGTCATCAGCTAAAAATTATGGTTTACCTGCAGATCCAAGTAATCGAGTATCACTTGCTCTCAGTCGCAGTTCTTCGTGGCTCTATTGCAAGGAAGAGTAAAGCTACCGACGCACCACGAGATGATCAAGGACGCCTACACTTTGCCACCCGGCGCACCCGAAGACAAGTGGCACGCGGTCAACGCCTATCAATGGACTTACAACGAGGAACTTGCCAAAGCTACAGGCAATATCCAGTTGCCACCTTCTTACTATAAGGATGGCATACATCTGTACGAAGCTTACCGCGACACCCATTTGGCTACGTTTCGAGAGGTTCGCTTCGTATTGAACCCAAACGGTACTTTCCACCTTGAGAATTTGGTGGAAGATTATGAAACAGAATGAAAGCTTCGCTTTGAATTTATCATACGCAATCAGCTGTACATTGTTTTCATGGCTCATTACTTAATTGTTGTATACAATTTTTTCGAATAAATTATTGATTTATCACCGATTGACGTCAAACTATTATAAAATTAACATTTGAAATGCAAATTACTTTCGATGTATTTTTTTCATATTGACGTAATCATGTCTGCAAATACATGATCTGTTTAAACATTGATTTCAATTTTCATTTTAATCAAACAAGTGATTTTCTTTTTCTTTCTTTATTACAACAAATCGCATTTTAATAACCGCATTGTTTTACTTTTCCAACGCATGAAATTTTATCGTGAGCTCGTTATAGCGTTACTTTTACAAATCAAATTTAATAGCCTCGTGATGCCGACCGAGCGTTTATACTCGAATAGAAAACGTTTGAAAGATAAAAAAAGTATGCGTATTTTCATACCACACTGCAGACTTCTCAGCATACTTTAGTTGTAACTTTCATAGTATTCGCTGCGAAGGAATCGTGGAGCTTAAAAATGTAAGTGATTTTCGCACTTTCTACAAAAATCAAACAGCTATCCCAAGATCATCATTTGCTTCACGCTCAGGAGGAGCATTTTATTCGTTTATCTCACTCTGCTACTATCGATGATTGATTATGGGAATGTGAATGCAGATAAAAAGAAGGTATGTATTATCGGCGCAGGTATGTCAGGGTTGGTTTCGGTAAAGCGTTTGGCCGAGCACTCCGACGAGTTCGAGCCGATTGCTTTCGAAAGAAATTCGGACGTCGGTGGATTCTGGATTTACACCGAGAGTACAACGGTTGACGAGCACGGATCACCTGTACACAGCAGCGCCTACAAAAATCTCAGGTAGATTCACCGAAATGTAAAGTCGTCGACGCAGTCAATCGACTTGCACGATGATTTCAGAACCAACGTGCCGAAGGAGCTCATGGCTTGGCCGGACTATCGGAATTTTAGCGGCGACGAGCGCAGTTCCGTGCCTCATTATTTAGTCTTGCAGTATTTGAGAAATTACACCGCTCATTTTAATCTTCGTCGATACATACGGGTTAGCCAATTAACGCATTGCGTCGGTCGATATTTTGCGCTCCTTTACGCCAATTCGTTTGTAGTTCAACGTATTGGTGGAAAGCGTCGCTCCGACGCGCGGCCCACATCGTCATTGGAACGAAACCAAGTGGGTGCTTAAGACGAGAGATTTGAGCACTCGCGAGCACGACCACACTATCTGCAACGCTATCATGGTTTGCAACGGGTACGCACGCGTCCTTTCTTCGTGCAATTATTCATCGATTAACCGCTTCGAGCTTTCGCATTTCAGTCACTTGACTAAAGAATACGTTCCGGTCGTACCGGGAGTCGAAAAGTTCCAAGGCAAGGCAATACACAGCCGCCTTTATCGGAAGCCCGAGGATTTCGCCAACGAGACAGTTGCGATTTTGGGAGCCTCGGATTCCGGCCTCGACATCGCCGTCGACCTTAGCTCGCGGGCCAGGAAGATCTACCTCAGCTCCAGACACGAGAGGCGAGTCGCGCCACGAGCACCGACTACGCTCCTCGATGTCGCGTCCAAGCCGAAGCGCAACAACTCTGAATTTCAGACTGGCGAGCAAGCTGCCCTCGAACATCGAGCAAGTGCCCGGCATAATCAAAGTCAGCGGCGACGAAATGATAATGTCAAACGGCTCGTCGATAACGGCGGACTCGATACTCTTCTGCACCGGCTATGCCTACGACTTCCCATTCCTCGAGGACAGCTGCGGAATCGGAGTCAGCAGAGGCCACGTGTTTC